AGCCCCTACCGCCCTAGGGGTAATCCCATTGAGCGTAATAACAACACATTACTCAGTATGTTGGGTGCACTCACAGACAAAGGAAAATCCAAATGGCGCGATTATATCCGACCTCTCACTCATGTGTATAATTGAAGGAGGAATTATGTTACTGGGTTCTCACCCTATGAATTAATGTTTGGGCGCCAGCCTCGATTGCCCATAGGTGTAGCCTTTGGTCTACCAGTCCAGAAAGAAACAGTTTTGTCTCATTAACAGTATGTAAGTAACCCTAAAAAGTACCTGAGAGAGAGTTATCAATTAGCAGCAGGCAATTCAAAGAAAATAGCTGATAAGAACAAACACAGATTTTCCATGAGAGTAAGGGAATCAACACTTGACACGGGCGATAGAGTCCTCGCTCAAAATCTGCGATTTCGTTGCAAACACAAGTTAGCTGACCAATTGGAGCCTATCATTTACGTTGTTCTAAAGAAAGCTGGAGATATGCCTGTGTAGACAATCAGTCCTGTGGGTCAGGAAGGGCCTTTGCGCACACTCCCCCATGACCTACTGCTCCCTTGTGGGTTTTTACTCGAGGAGAAGGAAATGGTAGAATCAAAACAACCCTCAAAAGCTAAAACAAAGCGAACTCCCATTCTTTATGAAGACAATCCTCCTGACTCAGATACTGAGGATGTCTATAGTCTATGGTTCTATCCAACAGCTATCGAAACAACCAGAAGGATTGTTCAACCAAGCAGTATGACAGAAAAAAATGAATGAGGCATATGGAAAAGCAAATAGGGAATGTGGAAACTTACCCGAGGATCAAATCCTTAGCCACCCTATGGAAAAAGGAAAGGAAATTGGAAATCAGATGAGACACAAAATAACAACCTGAATGGAAAACTACCCGAATTAACACCAACCGAACTAGAAACTGAAAACACCACAGAATGTGAGGATACCGAAATCGAGACTGAAAAGACATACCATTCTTTTTGCACTGAAACTTCAGAGAAAGTTGAGCAGTCCAAAGATATTGAACAGACTAAATAAAACGATGCTGAACTTCCAGATTCCAGTGATGATCAGACTGCTGGTATAGTCCGCAGATCTGAAAGACAGAGAAAACCCCTTCTAAGTTTACTTACCCCCAGCTTGGTAGACCCTTGATTTCTTTTGCACAAACCATTCTAGACCTGTTTAACAAAGTTTTGATTGAAACCTTTGAAGGTGCTCATGACCCTTGAGACAACATGAAGGGAATCATGTTGATCTAGAGGGGGAAGGTGTAACCCCCCTGAATAAAAGGTTCAAATAAAATTTTATTTGGATTAAAAAACGGCTTCATTTACGTTTTATATACATACTGTGTTTTATTTTGAAAACCTTGTATTGGTCAAAAAACAAAATTGAGAAGAAAAGTGTAGGGAGATAAGAAGCACGTCGTTTGTGATTTTCCTTTCTGATGTTATAAGAAAGGAGGTTTTTTGAATACGTGGAAATTGATGCATTCAGCCTTGGTGTCCCACGAGGTTGATGAGGAATGATCCATGATGGTGAGCCTTCCCAGTTGGATCGTGAGCTCTACCACATCATTCAACAAATTCTGTGGTAGGATTGTGTCAGTCTACTTACAGACATCAAGAGGACCTTCTTCGGATACAATCTCTGATTTGACTAATCCCCCTGACTGACTGACTAATGGACTTGAACTTTTATTGAAGCTCTGAAGCAACAAATACAGGAAGAACATTCTCAAGAAGGACATTATTTTTTCTTAGTTTTATTTTGGGCCCAAAGGTTGTTGTTTTGTATTGTACACTTTACAATATGTGTTACTAAAGGTACAGTTAACTATAAATACCTGTGTCCCTCACTTATTGCTATCTGCTAAGCTCCTATGAACCTAGAGCGTTAGATGTGTACATACCCGAAATTGGGTTACATATACTTTATCTACAATCTTACAAATCACATTGTAATGTTTATTTAAACACCAATAGAATCTATGAAGACATTATCTTTCACCTAAACTGCTAAGTTTTCCAGGTAGACGTCTAATAAGAGAAGCAAGGGGTTCTGTAAAGGTCTGGAGGGGCTGCAGTGATCCTGAACCCTTTTGCTCTTCAGATTTGAGTTGTTCTCTCCAAGAATTTGGCCTCTGTTTAATAGAGAGGGGATGACAGCATTTGTTGAAAGAATTTGTGAGAAGTCTTGTTTTCAATTTGTAAAATCCGTCACTAGGAAGTCTAGGAATTTCCTTTCGCGACTATCACTGCACGTTTTTCGCAGGCATCACTGTAATTGTCAAAATCCTGCCTGTCACATCGCTTTGTATCCCACCGCTGTTGATGGTGCCTCTACAAAGGGAAAACATGCAAAATGATCGCTCAGGTTACCAGAAAAGCATTTGGTTCAGGCTCTGCAGTAGCCTTGCACCTTTCTTTGATTGAATACATTTTGGATCAACTTTGAGATGCAGTATATTTTGATTTCTGAACTGCTTTGGTCATCATATCACCAAAGATGAAACTACAGGCCTATGACTGAACAGAGTCCAAGCTTAAGGTGATGCCACACCCTGATGACATGGCACAAATAATGCCTTGCTGCCTGCTAGTTTACATTCGGGCTGATACTGTAAACATTGGATGGCGATCTCGTCTCATAACCTTTTATTACATGCCTTTGGTTTCATTTTCAGTGGCTCATCTTGGTAAAATGTGAACAGCCATGGTACAATGAACGCAAGCAACACAGTAATCCAGCTTTACTTTAAAGACAAGCTCAAAGTTTACCTGAATGTTTTTGGTCTGACATCTCCTGTCTGTAGGCTGTTTTAGAAATATGAAGTCTTTTAAACATGTGCACCAAAGTGACTCTTACTGGGAGCCAAATGTATGTTTATTGACATCTGTGCGTATTTTTGAGTGCAGTGCACCTGGGACAACAATGGATTTGAGCAGCTGTGCGTTTATCAAGCCGTGCAGCAGCAGGACATCAGCGTCTGTTATTAAACAGTCAGGAATTATACCAGACCGCCATACGCTGCTTCAGTTTTGATCACCGGTTCAAGCAGAAGATCAGTGGATGTGTAATTGTAAATGTCACACATGGTGTATTAAGACAGAAACCAAAACAGCGTTTGACAAACCTGCGGAGCAGCGAATCAGCTTACACGTAACATGATCAGGTTTCAAAGACAACGTGTAAAAGAGCCACGCAGCAAAAAATGCCTCAGGGGCCAATATATTTACTGAAGCTTTCGGTTTTTGTAGGTGAAGCTACGTGAAACACACCAAATGGTTACAATTAAAGGTCCAGTTGTGTCAAAAGTGATGAAAAGCAACAACAGAATAATTTTCTGGTTACTCATGCGGTAGTATAAAGTCGGCATGTGGATTGAATTAGTTGTAAAAGAACACCTGTTTGACCTCGGAGCACTGTGGGCCTCTGGTCTTAACTCTTTGTATGCAAGTTTTTCTTTTATTCCTCTTTGAACTGAATGCGTATTCTGGGACGTGCTTCTCTCTGGCAGGAGATGTCAACTCAGCAATTTGCTCCAGTCCAATGAAATGCTGCAGGGTCTGGAAGGAAGCAGCTGCTGAGAGACGAACACCGGTCGGAGGGACGAGCCAACTTCAGTTTACCTTCCCTCAGGGAGTACACGGTGAACAACGTAGAGATTTACGACCCTCTTGTTGTTTATGTTCTCTCTTTTTTTCTTAGAGCAAACAGAAATTGCTGTGCATCCATTTTCAGAACTGTAATGATTGGAGCTTCTATCAAAAACCTGTGTTTTCCTTTTTTAAGGGCTTGCTAATGACTCTCTTCTTGGAAAAACAGCCCCTTATCTCACCAATTACATTCAGCTCATTAAGATGATGTAGCACACACTGTGCTTTTAAATCGATAACAAATCTGAACCTGGCAATGCATCAGTAGAGTTAGAAGAATGTTTCATCCTTCTTCATTTATCTTGCCCACAAGGAACATTTTTGACACAGGCATCCAGTGGGAGGAAAATTGCCCTAATTTTCTGGTAATATGAACCATAACAAAAATCTTGCATCAGTGCTACCTTCCCAGTTACATACATGACCTCCTTGCCATTCACTTGCAGAAATACAACACATTTTAACACTGGTTGAGCTGTGGCTGTGTGTCAGTGGGTTCAGTGTTTTCATGTGTACAGTGCGAGTGTTTAATTTTCCATGTAGTCACTGCCCTTAAGTCTGGGAATTACAAACGGGTCTGGACCTGCTCGCTTCTTTCCCAATTCAGCTTCATGAGCTGACAGTAATCCCCTGCCTATGGAGGCACAGGGCTGGCAGGGTGGGGATGGAATAGATTCATGGATGGTAAAAAATGTTGGGATGGCATGAATCCCTTCAGGGAGGGACAGTGCCAGGAACTGAGCTGCATGCGCAGCGACTTTTATGCTGTTTTTCTTAAGTCAGTCTAGTCCAACGTGACTTACTCTTCCTAAGTAAATCTAATATTTCCAAAATAATACTTCAGTTTTCCCAAAAAAAGTCAAAGAGTCGCAGGCGTGCACATAAGTTTTCCGATGGAAGATGTTGTCACGCATTAGATTGAGTATCAGCAGCCTGGTTTTATATTAGTTTGAAGAAAACGGATACTGTGAATCACTGTAAATTGAGCTTCTTTTTTTTTTTTTGAAAATACTACCTGTTAATACATTCCTTATTTTCTTTACATGTATATTAGAGTTTTGCTGATTTGTCTAATATTAAGAATCATTCCAAAAAATTAGCCGGATCCAAAATTTCAGTTTATTACTCAAACCTGCACATCTACCTCTGACTGCACATACCTGCATTTAAAATACATACATTTTTATTACAACAGTGTAATCAAATACAGAAATGTGAAAACCCAACTAATTTGAATTTATTTATAAATAATTACCATATAAAGAAATAAAGAAATAATAGTTTTTAATAGAAAACATTTGATAATTTATGATATCTTTTCGACATATGTGGTTTAACCAGGTATTTAGATTTTAATCTGAAATATGTTACATTAAATAAAAATTTATGTTTCGGATAGGAAAGGATTTGGGTTAAAAGTATTGTGGTTTTATGTTTAGAAATATATGGAAATTCATTGCATTTTTAAATAAATGGATTAACAAATACAATTTAAAATGGTTCTTTTATCATTTAATTTTAAAAGTGCAATTAAAAAGTACTTTTCAAATAGGATTTCAAATTGTATGATATGGTTGTATTTCTTTTTCAGTGACGCTTGCTGGTCCTCCATATAAAGGAGTGTCAGTTTTTATGAAAACAAGAAAAGAGACTTTTACTGTTTTTATGTATGGTAATATAAAAAAAGACGTAATGAAAATTGTTTTTATCCTGATCAACAATCAATCAAATTATCTTTATCAGTACTGCAGGAATATAAACTCGTCTTATAATTGCTGAGCAACGTTTTGGCTTGTTTGGGTATAAAATTATTTTTTTTTTATCTAGAACCACCGGGATTTGGATTAATTTCCAGGGTCACTTCCTCTCTACTTTAACTTGATCATTTCTTGGAACACTTTCTTTAGTAACCTATGACTTTCTGCATTTCTGACCTCTTTACTGGGAACTAGACTGAACGAGAACCAACAACATGCCGTTTATCACATTGAAAGGGGGAAGAAACAAATGTCCAAAGCTTCAGGAGAAGAAATACCAAAAAGAGCATGCTCTGTCCTACCATTACAAATGTAAACACAAAGAAAACCTGGAGACTTTGTAAATAGTGTCAAACAAGGCTTTAACAGCAATAATCACAAACAGTTGAAGATCTGAGTACTAGAATTATAGCTAACTTAAAGCATTTTTATACAAGTGTAATAAGCGTGTGAATAAATGTCTTTAAGTGTTCACAAAGTACTTTGTTGGAATACGATGAGGGTTTTATTTGCACACAAAATCCTTTACCCTGATGCCATAATTTAAAAACTTTATTTTTTTTCTTATTTTCATTTGCAAGCATATTTTCATATGTTAAAAGACAATATCATCATATTTTCATTGTTAGAACAATGAAAGCATTTTTTTTGCTAAAACCAAAGGTGAAATAAACTCTTTAAAAACTCTACAAACATATTTCAGATAAAAATGAAAACTTCCTTTTTAAAGCTACGAAAAAAGGCAATAATTTATCTTAATGGACCAAAAAAAAAAAAAAAAACAGGCACTGGTTCTCTAACCTGAGCCTCTGCATCTAAAGCTGTAAAGGGTTCAGCCACATGGTGTCATTACATCCACTGATTTGCACCCCTCACCTTAACAGACCTGGAAGCTGATAAGACTTTCAGCTATTACCATAAACAATGTGACGAGACAGAAAGTTGGTGGGAAGAGTGTGTATTCAAAAACAAAAAATGACATGACAGGTCGACAGCCTATGTGAAATGTTGTCAGACGGGTCCAGGCTTTCAGGCTGGGGGGAGTTTTCTCAGGATGGACTATCCCTTTGGTTTTTTCTTCTGTCTTTTATGATGTAGGCCGGAAGCCCTGGCAGCAGTATTATATTCCAGGAAATTCTCAAACAACCACTGTTTTCCACCTGGGATTTGGCACTTTTTTGCCGTTACCTCTTTTGGAAGCTGCTGTGACAAATGGAAATATCCCATCTGTGAAAACAGAATTTCTTCCATGAAGGTTATTTTGGTCCTTGTGTGCTTTTGTTCAAACTTTGACTAAGAAGTCATTATAATCCTTTCTCTATCTCCAGCTGAGACAGTTCTATAATACATCTGTCCTTTTAACAAATAAATTAAAATTTTGCCAGGGCAGATCTTTTTGTTTATTCCTCAATAGAAATAATAATACATAAAAATATTGATCATTTTAATATAAAGAGGTCCAGTTTTTATGAGAATCCGCTGCGGTTGAAGAAAATCTTGGAGAAAAAAAGCTGGAGATCCACTTCAAAGAATCAGATTATCCTTTTTGTGGTTAAAAAACAAAAAACAAAAAACTACTTCCTCCATTGTTGCTGGTTTCCACAAGACCCAGAGTTGTGTGCCACAATGTATTTTTAGCTACACTTGCAGGACTTAACGATCATGTTAGACAGCTGGTCCACCTGTAAGTAGAAATCAACCGTAAATCATATGCGTGCATGCTGCTATCACATCGCAATGTTCCGTAAACATTTCATCTAAAAATATCTGAGGTATTGATACCCTGTGTTGCCTTCCCACGTAGTAGAGAATTGGCAGCGGCTCCAGTGTCTGGGGAACGCAGCACGGCTGGGCGGATGCTCCCGGATTGTGATGTTTATACAGAGCCAAAATCTGCAAAGCGGAACATGAGGGGAAACAAACAGAAAACAAAAGAGCTCAGTTGATGACTTCATGACCAATAAGGCATTGGTCAAAGCTACTTGGGCACTCTTTCAGGGACCCTTGGGCAGTTAAGCATCTTAGAAGATAAATCACCAAATAGCCGAGCAGCTTTACCTTTTATAAATTTACTTTGAAATTAGAAGAAATTCACCTCAAGAGATTTAAAGAGAAAAAAGAATATGCTGTTAAATCCTCACTGACTGAATCAAATGTCAGATTTTTTATTTCTTGGCAGTTAGTTCATAAAATGCATTCAAATATGAATTAAATGAGCTTAAATGTGGTCCTTTGTAGGAGCAAAGTCAATACAATAAACCAGAAAACACCAGATGAGCCATTGCCATCTGCTAATGTTATTTGCTTTTGGCCTAATAGTAAACTATAAACTACATATGAGCTAATACAGATGCATTCAGATTGTTCATAATCACCAGACTGAAAAGGGAAATAACAAAAATCGAGTACTCTCCCAAACATGTCTATATCTACCAATCTGTTAAAAGGTACAAGTTGCTCAGAAATATTAAAAGTATTTTAAACAGAATTCACTCCCAAGGTTTCTTTTGAAGAGAAACCAGCATATTGAAATCATACCTGAGAATATTTATTTTCAGTGCCCCGAATGTATGAGCATGACCCCAAGCAGTAGTTAGCCATGTAGCCTGTGGGCTTGTGTATCCACTTCCAGCCCAGATCCTTCCTGAAGTCGATGTACAAGCTCCGTACGCAGCAGTGCTCCGTTTGTCTAAAATTGGATGAATAAAAGGGAGAAGGTTAATCAGTTTTAAATTAAATGTAAGAGAAAGTATTAAGATGGCAAAGAGGTTTTTTTCAGTCTGGGTAAAATAGCAGAAGTTAATTCTCTAAGAAGAATAAAGGGCAACACATAAAGCATAAACATTTTCAGCTTTATTTATTGAAGATCAGTGACCCCAGCATCCATAGTATTGGACTGAACTTCCATTAAATCAAAATGAAATTCCTTGATCTTCAATAGACCCTGTTTGCTTCTCTGCATAAGTAATATCCTGTATTAACTGACTTAGAGTTAAACTGAAACAAACCCGAAATGTAATAAATGTGGCAACTTCCTGTTCTATTCACTGATGATTTACTGCCTTGCAATAAAGGGCTTAGTGGTGCATTCAAATGCTTAGAAACGCATCTATTTATAGCTCATATGTTAATATTAAACCTGCTTGTATTGATTTGCATGTAGCAGCAGCACATCATTGCACATCATTTTTCTCATGTTTGAAACATTCAAAACCGACTCCCTGAATCATTACATGAGAATAAGAATTGAATAAGAGAAGAGAAGAAGAAGAATGGTTCTTTCTGTTTATCTATCCATCTATAAAAACACGTTTTTTCTTTTTTGCTCCAATTGCCCCTCCTTGCTAAGTCTGTCTTAATTAAATATGATTATCCACTTGTTTTGGAAAGTTCAGTTCTGTATCACCAACCACACCCAGCTCTCATTACTGCGAGACAAGTACAATCAAGAAATGACTTTAAAAACAACACACAGGCTAAAAAAAAGAAAAAAAAAAAAAAAAAAAAAACCTAGCAAAGAGAGGTAATATTCTTTGATCTAAAGAAACTCAAGAACAGCTAAAAAGCATTATCTCTGACACATATCACTCTGTAAAGGGCCACAGCTTATTTCTTTGAGGCTCTGGGTCTCCAGCAAACCACAGTCAGAGCCTTTTTCCATTTTATGGTGTAGTAAATCTCCATGTTCATGGTTTGGAAAGAAATAAATCATGCTATATAGCATCCATGACACTATGAGAGAGTTTTAAGAACACAGTGGCGCTGTGTAACAATATCTATTGGAAGGTGTGCCTCTTCTTATATCTTGTTTAAAAATAACCTAGAGTTTCGAAGAAAAAAATAAGTCAAACAACAGAAAATCCTGAAGGCAAACGTCTGATAATCCATTTGTAACCCTAAAGGTATAGTGGAGGATTTTCGCAATTTTTTGAAAAGACCCACCCTCTCCACTTTAAGAAAGAAAGGCATGCCTATTAAACGTGTGTGAGAGCGTGCACGAGCCCATTTCTCCTCGTGCACATTCTGTTTAAAAGTTGCTGTTTGCATCGTTTATACAAGCTTACTTTGCAAAATAAGATTTGCAATTTTTCCACTATGTCGAGAAATACCTGCCTGCCAAGAATTACCCTCCCTTTTGCACACTGATGAGAAAACGTATTGAAATATAAACAAAAAGGGGAATTTTAAACGTATTCTGAATGTTTTCATATTTCTTATGCATGGATGCTTTAAAATTGAGAGTTTGACAGATAAATGCCAAGAAATACCTGCTTGTCGAGAATTTGCTCCCCTGTCAAGGGAGCGTGCATTGCCCTAAACTCTAGCACATTGATGAGAAAACGGATTGAAATATGACCGAAAAGGGAACCTTTAAACATATGTTTAATGTTTTGTCAGAAATTATATAGAATGGTGTTGTTCATCCACTGAGCAGAGAGTATATTAATCGAACACTGACTGTAGCACATTTGCTAAAAATCACATTAATTCGAATTTATCTGTCCACCAAAACTCTAAATTTTAGGGCATCAATGCATAAGAAATATAAAAACATTAAGAATATGTTTAAAAGTTCAATTTTTGTTAAGTTTCTCATCATTGTGCGAGAGGGGAGGTAATTCTCAGCAGGCAGGTAATTCTCAGCATAAAACTTTTAAGTTAAAATAGAGGTGGAGCTTTACATAAATATATCACCAGAAGGCTTGACGGTTAGGAGGATCATTTATTTTGATGATCCACAAGAAAAAAAAAAGAATATCCTCCAGTATAACCTCCAGTATAAGTTTAAAGCCACTGATATTATGGAGCAAGATCATGATCTGAAGAGAGCAGATTAGAATACCTCTGTTGTACTTAAAAAGACTTATTATATACATTATTTTGTACAAAAAAATAAAATAATCGTTTGAAAACATTTTTTTATCAAGGGTATCCCTAATGTGTTTCGTAAAATGGACAATTAAGTGCAACTAAAAAGGAAAGGAGAGGTACTTGACGGTTGGGAGAGAGAATAGGGAAATCCCAATGACCCTTTCCTCACAATGCTCAGTGTTTACTAGACCTACCTCGCTGCCCCAGTGAGGTTCTTCAACCTAATGAGATTTTTGGAGATCTGCAGGCTCAGGTTGTTAATGTGTCCACTCTCCCTACCACAGGGTTATTAATGCTGAGCAGTCTGGGCTAAAGTTGTGACCTCACCTGATCTTCTTTTAGTCCACATTAAACAAGCAGAGACATTTAGCTGTTCTCCTTATTCCTTCCTCATCATTTCCAGAATTGATCTTACTCCCTATTCTACATGATCTTTTGGTCATAAAATAAACCCTGAAAGTCCTAAGCACTAAGCCAATGGTTTCTTCTTTTCTTCAAGGTTTGGAAGTGATTCACAGGAGTTTAATATCACCAAAGGAAGTCAAACGGGTTTTGAGGTAAGTAAGCCATTCTTTGAAATCAATGGTATTACTTACGCTGAGCAGGTTTCTGGTTCGCTGGTGGAGCGTTTTTTGCGTGATTTATGCGGGGTGGACATATTCTTAGGGATGGACATAGTCAGGATGTAGGGCGGTTGCTCTGTCAGCAATTCCACCGTTGCTGTGTCTCCTCGTGTCTTATCGATCCCCGAGATGGTGAAGCCGAACGTACTGGGTAGCTGCTGCTCACATTCACAGAAAACGCGTAGCTCAAACTTCTGCTCATTCTCTGGAAAACAAAAATGTTGGAAGTTTTAGCTGAATTGTAGGACAGAGAATTAGGGCCAGGATAGAGATTTTTTTTTTTTGCATTTCGAGGATAAAGTCGTAACATTACGAGAATAGAGACGTAAAATTAAAAGAATAAAGTTTTAAAATTATGAGAATAAAGTCGTAACAGTGCAAGAATAAAGTTGTAACATTACATGAATAAAGTAATAAAATTACGAAAATAAAGTCCTAACATTACGAGAATAAAGTCCTAACATTACGAGAATAAAGTTGTAACTTACAAGAACAAAGTCACAACGAAATAGACAAAAATTATGAGAATACAGTGGTAATATTAAGAGAGTATGGTCCTAAAATTACGAGAAACAAATTGTATTTTATGACAACTCTTACAAGAAGCAGTCTTCCCTAAAATGAGGAATGTCGAGCATTATATTATACTTATGCTGTGGTTGACAAATAAGGAAATCTTTTAGCACTAGCATCAAATTGGGCAGTATGTCAAAGTGGACTCAGGTTGCTGTTTGGTGGTGCTGGTCAGCTGTCATATGATGGTCGAGCTCAAAACTTTCTTTCTGAAACGGGTCATTGTATGATGACTCCATTTTTGTAATAGTACGACTTTATTCTCGTAATGTTATGACTTTATTCTCGTAATATACCGACTTTATTCTCGTAATGTTATGACTTTATTCT